GAGCATCGGGCCCATCAAGTTGTGCAGCAAGAATCACGGATTCAACAAATCCACCCCTTATACCCTGACATACAACATCACATCACAGCCGGGATACTGCGCTTTTGCGTACTCCCGTATTGCCTCGTAGCGCCTCCGCTCATCCAGCAATTTATCCATCTGTTGCGCAATGCTAGTGCGCAGCAGCTTCACTTGTGTATTTTGATTTTGCCTTCGAAAATGGCGGTAAAGTGCTCTTCGTTTCAAGAATCGTTGCATTTCCCGTGACCAGTTTGCCTGTTACAAAACAGCAAATACATTTAGCCTTTCCTGGTGCTTTGGAAGCGAATTTTCCTCCAAGAAGACTTACTTTTCGACAACCGGCTATTCCGTGCCTGATACACCTTGTGCAACGGCTGCGGCCTCGTGAAAAGTTACACCATATATTGGGGTTCTTCAATTTCGGCAAACAGCATACACACGGGATGCGCTCGCGGACACGGAGCAGCAGCCTTTTCCATTTTGATTTGTCTATGTTTTTTTTGTTCATCGGCTCTGCGATGGACCTTTTCTCGGATTTCGACTGCTGTGCTTTTGCCATTGTCCAAACTCGTTTGATTCCTTGAATGTTTTTAGAATGAATGCAGAGAGCTTGATGAGAATATTTTGAATAAAAAATGTTTGTTTCTTGGAGAAGAACAGAAGATTTGGATTTATTATTGAAAATGAAGGAATTGCTTGCTGAATGACAATCTCACTTGAATTTGGACGTGCAGGCAAACAGAACTCAGAACAGAACTCAGTGAATGACAAAAGCAGCTCCCGCAACATGATAAGCTCCAGAAGCTGCTATTCATCCATATCGACGCCATTCCATCTCCCTTTCATCGTTGGCCCTATCACATCACCGTGCAGATTATACAATCACACTCCTCATCACCACACCCGCACCCAAAACAAGGCTTTGTAGTCCCTTTGATAGGCTTCGTGACAACTGAGGACGCCGAGGAGCCGGAGGAAGTAGGCAGGGTACCGTCAACAAGGGCGGGCTTGTGAGAGTTTGCGGCCATTTTCGCTTCAGGATTGATAGAATGCTCTGTACTCCGTAGCTGGAAGGGAACTCTATAGTGGTTCTCGATGGTCTCCCTGCTCAAGCTCAGTTAGTTAGCTGTGGACTGCTTAATGTTCTTGATGTGCTATCGCTTCACCTTGCCTGTCTCTTTGTTTGACATTTGTATGCCTCAGTTAGCATGGATGTCAAGAAGCTTGCGCTGAACGGCCTGGATTTATACGAATATCGCTGCAGCCACACGGGACGTCGTCATCTCCTTGATTATGTCACGGCCACCACCAGTCAACCCACTCCAGACTTGTCAATGCTGAGTTCACTCGTTCACTTCACTCTTGACCAAAGAGTCGCTGCATGTCACCAAAATCATAGCCTTTGAAATCAGTTTCATTCCTGGGGTTGTGTGCAAGAAGATGGGCAGAGAGAGAGAAACAAGTCAAATATTCTATTAAGCACCTCCCTGCACAAACTAAGCACTGCTAACAACATCAGAAAGGAAACACTTCTTTGAAAACTATAGCCGAATCACCAGGTGGCCCAGTAATCAATCTCAGGATTACCCTGGAAACTGGATATTATTTGATGCCGAAACCCTTCCTCGACTTCGAATACCCCGTCCATGGTCTCGAAGCGTATATCCCACGACTGTCCAACGCCATGGACGAGACGCTCGACTCGTTGCCAGTCTCGTGCCAGCTTTTGGGCCTTTTCGATTTCTGCCTGCTCCAGAGGACATTCTGACGATATGTTTCCGCAGCCCCATGAGAATTGTTCGAATTGACCGTAATCCTCAAGACAAGGAAAATAGCAGCGGGCCGAGTTCAGTAATTGTTTTTTTGTTTCACGGAGTATATTTGAGTATATTTCCTCCCGAAGCTGATCGTCGTCAGGCAAGTTCAAACGGCGCTCCTCGTCCTGGTATCCAAGGAACTCCGCGAGGTGCCAGCTAGGAGGCCAGATGCTGTAGTCATCGGGGCTAGAATTACAGTCAAACCAAGTATTCCTGCACGCCTCTAAAAGTTCTCTCAATATTGAGAGGCATGTCTCTTCTTCTGGTGGCACGATCATTGGACAGTCCCAGATGTCGAAATACACTCTTCTCGCAAGGTAAAAGGGATTATCCTCTTCAGCACCCTTGATCAGGTCGATAAGGTCTGGTTGCACCAGCCCATCCCCGATGGCCCAGTTGTGAATCATGTAAAAAGTTTCATCAGCTTCGAAACCAGTACTGTTGCACGCTTTCATGATGCGATTGTACACAACGCATTCGTCCTCGGGCAAGTGGCCGCTCGCAAAATCCTTGTTCTCACCCTGGATGCAACGGTCAATATGGACCCAATCTGTCTTTACAGATGCAACAGATAAGCGTAGCTTGTCGATCTCCTTCTCGCAGCCCAAATCGGTGCCGAGTGTCGTTAACATTTCCCCATACCTAGCCCAAAAGCTTGCCTTGTACAGCTCGATAAGGCCAATCTGCAATGTCTTGTCTACCAGGTCACTAGGCAGAAGCCCATAGGGTGCCTCCCGTAACCCGCTATCCATAAATGCAATGACCTCTTTCAACTGTTTAGCAGCCAGCTTGAAGTTGAACTGTTTTCTCTCGGATTCAATTCTGAGAAATTGTTCGCATGCGCGCTTTAGGGTTTTCATTGCACGTCTTCCCATAGGAGACATTGGTACCCACTTGCATTCAAGGGCTCCGATGGCGTACGCGAGCAATGCCCTTATTTCCTCCTTCCCATAGTCCGAAACACCACCCTCCTGAAGCGGGGGCGGATAGACGACTAGGTAACGTCCTGGTTCATGAATATCGCTAGCTGAGAGTGTGCAGCGCGGCTCTAATGCGATTCGGATCTCGAGGTATGAAGGAACTGGGATGCGTTCTGTATTGGGTGGATTGGTGGCTGCCAGAGGCTCCGATGCCTCAGGGGGTCCTAGTTCAGCACTAGGTGGAGAGGTCGCTTCCATTTTCATTTCCATTTTGTCAAGATCTCAGACTTAATAGACAGATAGATATGTTGAGAGAAAATTGTTCTGTGGGCCAGCTTTTATACCCAGATGCTTCCCGGCGCCTGCCATCAAAATGACCCTTTTAGCAACATCATGACCTCATATAAAGTAAAGATGGCGATGCAATAATTCACACACACAGCTACCATAGTCAGTCTTCGTCGTCATTCACTCATTTCAACCTTGGCTCTCTGTGTGTCCCAAATTCTGCACTGGCAAACAAGCCTCAGCGGCCGTATGGTAAGCTTCCCCAGTTCCAAAACCTCTTGATATCAATATAGGCTCCGAGCATCGGTCCCGACGTCCGCAACCGTTCAAAAAAGGCTCATTTCGGGGTCCAGGTTAGTGCGCAAGCTTGAGTATAGGGACGTTCCGTCAGAGAAAGCCCGGAGATGTCCTGGTGAGGTTCCATGGCGTGATTGCATCCGGAGCCTATGGGACTCAAAAAGGCAGACGTTCGCCTCTCTTATCCGACGGAATAATGATACGCAATGACAGGGTCCAACATCCGAAGCTGGTGTTCTCCCGCAGCTCCCTTGCTTTTTTGGTTGGATATGATGCTAGGTTTGGGGGGAGCCATGGCGCGATATTCAATCGTCTGGTCATGGATACTAAATCAGCCGGTGGGTTGCTGTAGGTAACTACGTCTAATAGAATGACGATCAGATTGACCATCGAGGCTGATAGGATATAGACACCGTGTCAAGACCTCTAGGTTTTCCTCCCGAAGATAGGGCGTAAAAGATGTCCATTGAATATATGCCCCTTTTGCGCGATTACCTCTGTTCCTGGAACGACATTCCAGCTCCTTTAAGCGACGGTTCCAATGAAAAGTTCGAGAAACTTCTATACTGATGCAGGGTGCCTATAGACTCGATTCTATGAAGCTTCGAGATACGTACCTGCGGCCTCGCAGAGCCTAAAAGATTATCCACACTTTAATATAGTTACCGTCGAAGTTGACTAACAGCACGTATATATTGGACCTAGATACATATGGATTCATAAAAGAAAATGCATGGAAAGAATGCACAAGCTTCTCAGAATCACGGTGGTATTATACTTTGTAGGATAGCTTGCGGCCGGGTCACTTTCTAGGACTGATTTCCATTTTGGCCAAGTGCTGAATAAGGAGCGAGGGAATGTTGAGAACAGGTAGCAAGCAAAGGATGGAGTGAGTCAAATTCTTCATGCATTAGAATCACAGCGATCCGAACGCTGTCTAGAAAAGAAACCGTACCAACTTGAAAAGGAAACATGCGTTAGTTCAGTAAGTCATAAAAAGCCATGGACATTTACAAAGATCATATCGAGCCGTCACTTTTTGATTTCCAATCCTGGCCCCCTAACATGCAATTCACCGTCATTATTCATTGAAATCCCCCCCCAACCGGTTCCATTTTGTGGTTATTTGAATTTGTATGTGAATGAGATATTATTTCAATTTCCCAATTGCTCAATGAAGCTTGCTGGGCCGCCAGGTTGCATGTTATTGAGCCACGAGACAAGTTCAATAAGTTCTGCGCGACGCTCGTCCTCTAGTTGATCTCGGTCGCCCGTGAGGACGGCTTGGAAGATTGGGATCAAGCGCGGGGTGTGGCTTTGGATAACTGGATCTTCCCATTTGTCTACAGATAAATTAGCACCATTCCATTCAACATTGGGGTAAGGTACAAACGTACATAATTGGCATATCATGCGGTACACCGGGTCGTTTTCATCGTAATCTGTTGTTAATGGGAGGTCATCGATCAGGACAGGGATGGCATCTGCAAGTGGAACGTGGTCTTTGTGTTTCAAGATCATTCGAGCAAGGCATCCAACAGCGTTATCCGGGAGTCTAGACTCGTGGATACGTAGACAAGGCTCCAGTTTCTCCAGGATAGAGGGATATGCTTGGATAATCTCTTGCGTTGAGTTGGAGTTCTCAACCAAACGCCCAACAGCATAGGTCGTATTGCTTCGAGTTTGTAAATCCTCATCCGTGAGGCGACGAAGGAATAAACGAAGGAAATTTCCTGTGAAAGGAGTGACTGCTTCGCCTAAACCGGTAATGAGATCCGCAAGCACCCCAACGGCGGTTGCCCTCTCAAGAGATTCGCTGCCACCAGCGTACTTTAGAACTGTCTTCTCAAAAACGGGCCACAATCCGACAAAGTCTCCGCCAAGAGCAGCTGCGAGGCCAGCGATGACGTCGAGAGCAGTGTCGACAACGACCCAGTCAAACTCAGAGAGTTCTTCAAGAGCTGCTTGATCTTCCTCATCCGCACCGAAATCCTGCTGGCAAGGATGTTGCTTGGTGATGATAGTGTCAACGAGGGTGACCACATTATTAAGAGTTGCTTGATCTGCGATAATATAAGGTCCGCAATATCGAAGGTTTTCGGCTACATTGCGGTTGATATCGGCGACGGTGAGACTAGAAGTTAATTCAGCATTAGCATCTGTGTAATGCAAAAATGTAGGGAAACGTAAATAGGAGCAAAATGCCACAAGATATCAGGTTACGTTGGAAAATCGGTTTCACATCAATCACATAATATGTGTGTCTGAGTGAGCTGGGATACGATGCGTGTCATCATAATAAATAGGCATTGAAGGTAAAACAAGACAGGAATGACGACGCAGTGGACACATACCTATCCTCTTCTTCACTCCACATCTTAATCGTTGCAGTCATGAGGATCTCTCCAAATTTCTTAATTTCCTGTGGAGGTTCGCTCAACGGCTTGCCACGCTCCCATTTCTGCGCATGGCCGGCAGATTCAGACACTTGCCATAAAGCAGCGTATGCGCGGTGGAGAGTCGAAATTGTGCTTTTACGAACGCCTTCATATGGATGCTCGGCAAGAGGCAAGACGTGTTCAATCGTTTTTTCGAAGAAAGGCATAAAGGATTGACCAGTGTGAGTGAGCACGTCACCAAGGACCTCAATAGCGACCTCTTTTTCTTGGGCAATTGGGGTGACAGTGCTGAAATCCTCCCATTCACCGTCCTCATCATCGTCCATGCCTTGGATCACGTCATCGTCATCATCAGCATCGGCAACACGAACTTTGTGGCCGGCGATGGAAACTTCTTGTCCGATTAGGTCGCGAGCTGCATCGCCGAGAGAGACTTCCAAGTCTTCGTCGTCCTGTTCAAGGCAATCCAAAAGTCCTTTGACAACCCCATCCAGATAAGGGGTGAAATCTTCGCCGTATACTTTGGACATGGCGCCCCAGAAGATATACGTGCTCTCCTTCAACCGGGAATGGTTAAGTCTGAGAGCTTCCTCGCTGGCTTGCATCAAGGGTCCCACATAGTTCTTATAACGATCAGGCCCAGCGGAAGTGGACATCTCTCCCATAGCATCTGTGACACAAGCCCGGAGCTCAAGCTCTTCTTCGCTATTCTTAAGGGTGACAAACTCTTGCATTATGTGCATAGACTCATCAAAGAATGGTAAGAACGCTTCGCCGGCCGAAGAAGCAATCGACCCCAAGGCGCCAGCAGATAGTCCTTTGAGCTTGAAATCTGGCTGTTGGAAGAGTTTTTGCAGCACAGGTACAAGTTCTGATTGATATTGGATGGCGTCTTTACCCTCCAATGCATTAACGACCCCGTCGATAGCGGAAACACTTGCCTTGATGAGGTCGATGGTGACGCCACTTTCTTCTCCCTTGTATTCTTGCATAGCACTAGCCAGATTCTGCAATAACAACGGCATTAGTTGTTGGTGCTGCTTGGCCATGTCCTCGGCAAGGTCATCGGCGATGCGCACAACTCCATTTAGAGTTGCGTGTCGGACTTTCGGTTCTGGATCTGAAAGCATCTGCAAGATCACAGGGAAGATTTCTTTCATTTGCGTACTGATAAAATCTGGAGCACCTTCCACGCACATACCCAAAGCGAGAATACCAGCCCTTCGGTAGTCGGGATTCGCGCTTGTGAAATACTGGCCTAGAGCTTTAAGAAGGGGGACCACAACTTGACTAGGAGGCAAGAATTGTGCCATCATGTCCAAAAGGCCCAAGGCGGATCGAGCAGGAGTGATGTCGTCTACATCATCAGAGTCGCCGAGTTCGGTAGCAATTTGAAGTGAGGTAAGGGTCAATTGCTCGCCAAGTTGCATTCCTTGAATCTTGAGCTTTCTGTATCTGAGACACTGCATCAGAAAGCTGATAGCTTGGGTCCTCGTCTCTTCAGCCATCTCATTATTGGCCGCCAGCTGGTTCATGAACAAGACCAAATCCTTCAGATGAGGGTTCAAGAGTTGCGGCTCACATCCAAGAAAAGTCTGGAACACTTCGAATGCTTGCATAACTCTATCTTCATCCTCCTGGTCGATTGCATCCTTCAAGACAGCGACCATCGCGGGAAATATGTTTTGGAAAGCTTGAACGGCTTGTGCATCCTCGTCTATGTCGAGGTGTATAGCAAGTTTGCTGAGGGAAAGCAGTGTGTTGATGCGAACCTCCGCACTTTCAGGGTCGCGGATAGTTTTATCGAAAAGGTGAAGAAGTTCGACAAATTTGCTTTGAAACCCATCTCCTAAAGTCTCCAGAATCGTAAACAGAATGTACATTCCCACGGCGCGCACTTCCTTTGAGTTATTGGTGGCAGCCTGAAGAAGCCACTGGGGAAGGTCGGCCCACTCGCCATCTTGAAGATCAAGCTTCGCAATTGCAGATATAACTCTAGCAAAAGAATGACGCACAAGAGGCGCCTGCTCTTCGAGCGTAGAGTGAAGCAACCGTTCTCGTATTTGTGGCTTCTGCTCACGGGGAACCTTGAGCCAGTGTTTTGAAACTAGGGATCGCGCCTCGACGGCAGCCAGCTGCTTTAAATCGGTATTGCTGTGGGATGTGAATATTTGGATGAGGAATATGAGTGCTTCCGGTTTATTGTAAAATTCCTTTTGTAGCGTGGCGGTTGCATCTTTGACATTGCCCTGGCTGGCTGTGAAAACACAAGCGGGAGTTAGCCCAAGAACCTTGAGGCCAGAGAAATGAGACCAAAGGACTAGACTAAGGGAGACTAGAGAGCAAACTCACGATTTAAAACAATCTGCAGCTGCTGCAGGAATCTTTCTTGGTCCATGGTGGACAAGTGTGCGCTGAGACCGCGCAACGCCGGAAGATAAATATCAATAAAGAATCAGAATAGCTCGATGATAATTATAAAATTAGTCCAAAATGCATTCCTTCACTCTTAACTAGAACGTCTCGAGTGTAGAAAAGAGGAATATTATGCTGGGGGTATCACAACAGGAGAAAGTGTGGGAGTTGAAGACGCGGTAAAAAAAAATTTGAAAAGGGAAAATTTGACGGTGTGAGGTGGGGAGGCCAGGGTGACACCCAACCGCTCCACAACCATCACATCTCTAGACTACAGCCATCCTTCTCCAGACAGCCAGGACTCGATGCTGCGGATGAAACGGGTGGTATTGATGTTATTTTATGTTCATAGGCCTGATTTCAGCAGTATGTGCAAATTGTGAGTTACTTCTGGAGATTATATGACAACTACAAAAACAGCATGATATTCCTAAACAAAATAGATCTCAAATATAGTATCCAAACTCCTCCAGGTCTAGTAATAAATATGCCTGGACCTCGATGTCTATTGACCTGCATGATATTCATCAAACCGACGCTAGATCTGACCAGACGCTCCCAGGAGAAATGAACAAATCCAAATAAATGTTGAATATAACCCAAAAATAAACGGAAATGGAGATTGCAAACACATTGCCAATCCACAATATGGAGCTTACTCAATAGTCATCAGAATCGTAATCATTATCGGGCAACAGGGAGCGATATCTACGAGCAGCTAGATCCTCTTCAAGGCCGCCGTCTGATTCAGGGTCAATATACCCTAGCATAGAGTTAGCCTGCTAGCCTATTCAAAATTAGCCAGAGATTGGCGGCTCACCTTCTCCTCCAAAGAAGCTAAGAGCCACAGGAAGGAATATCAAACCGTGGGTTGCAGCGAAAATAATCAGTGCCAACCAGACGCGGAAGTAATATATTTCAAAAATCTTGCTTCTTGTAAAGGCAAGAACACAGACACCAACGAGTTTCGTCAAGGTGATACCGCTAAAAACACTTCCCCCAACATTCACTAATGCGGCCCATGCTCGCGCAGTACGGTGCCGAAACTTATTCTGGGCCCTTTCAAGAAGTGACGCCGAGGGGAACATAAAGGCACGGGCAATGTGCGCGCAGAATTCGATGCCAATGCCGACGCAAATAATCAAATTTACGAGAGAAACCGCATTCAAGGAAACTCCCGCTACGGCCATAGTACCCATGATGTCCACGAGCATCATAATGACGGTGAAAGTCACAACCGCCCCGGTTGTGATAGAGCCTAGTAAAAGAGATGTCACGACGAAAATGATTGCAATCGCAGACCCCAATAGTGTACCAGTCAGACGCACAATCGATGCGTATTGGTCGAAGAAAATGTAAAACTTCGAATATGGGAAGACCTCGATATCGTGTCTAGAAGAAAGGCTATCGGCAATCCGACGAGCGGAAGCGTAGGCGTTGATGAAATCCGCTTGGCTGCGGAGTGGCGTATGCGAAGTACGGAAATGGCTCGCGTTGGTCATTATGTGTTTGGGGTCAATGACCAAAGCATTGCTATAGGGAGCCTTACCCCCGAGCGGGCACGATGCAGTAGTGGGAGACCGTATCCATTTGTCCGCATACTTCAAAAATTCTAACCCTTCCGGCATGCCGTGGAGTGAGATGTTCCATGCCGGCTCTCTATCTTCAAAACAAATTTTCCCATCTTCGACACAGCAATCCTTTTGAGGGTTCAGCCAGTAGAAAAAGTCATCAATCCAGCTTGCAGCGGATCCAGAAATGTATGAAACATTCGACCTTTTGGACTCCTGTTCTAGAACAAATCCAAGAGAAAAATCGTCGCAAGTCGAAAAGCGACCACACAGTTGTTGTTGATGAAGCCGTGCGGTGACATTGACATCCTTAGTTACGAAATAGACAGGAGGGCCGGTACCAAAATAATCGTACAAGTCGTTGAAGTACGGTATCAAGTAGGAATCGCTGGGGATGGCAATGCGCTGGTCCAAACCAAGTTGCATCGTTGGTAGCAGAGCGAGGCCAGCTGCAAACATACCGGAGAACACTAACAAAACTAGCAGCCTGACTTTTTTGCCCAACAATTTTGGTGCGTAAACGCTTCGAATCAACCAATCTATGATGCCTTCTTCACCATGGTCGAATGGCTGGCTCCCCGGGATTGCGGCAGCAGTTGCCTTGCGTACCGTCAGGCAAGGGAAGCAATCTACTCGAAGGCTTTCGACGCGCCTCTGATTCAGGGCTAAAAGGGATATAAACATTGTGACTTGCAACAGTGCGTTGATCAAAACGGCACCGGCAGCATACACAGCAAAATTTTTCACTGCAGGCATCCCCACAAAAACGCCCATGGCAAATGCGACGGTTTCCGTGGTTGCGGATAAGAGAATACTAGGGCCCATGCGTCCCAGCGCTTTGGCAATCCGTTCATCGAGCTCTTCGTCAGGATGGCTCACATTGACCCTCTCAAACTCATGAACAATTAGGAAAATGTTATCGACACCAACGGCGAGGACGAGGAATGGTATCACTTCAGCGATGATAAGGGTCACTTTGACACCAACAGCCGCAAATAACCCGACGGACGCGGAAACGGACATCAGGACAATCAGAATCCCAATGACGCCGACGCTGAACTTGGACTGCACGAGTGTGTTGGCCGGATTGCTGAAGAGGGATTTCCATGTTATGGTTGTTGAGCTTAAAGCTAGTGAGGCGTAGATGAACATGATCACATAACTGATAACCACGATCCTAGCATCAGTATTGGTAGATTTATTCAGCTCTTGTTCAAGGCTGATTTCAGTGTTGAAAGAAACGCGTAAACCGCGCTCCATAGCTTCCTCTTGAACCACTTGCAAAACTTGCTTGAGGCTGTTTTCCCAATCGATGGCATTTGCTTCCGCTTTCGAGCCTTGGTCATGGTTGTTAACCACCCATGTCACTATCAAAGCTTTTGCATCCAGAACATTTCCCGTGTCTTCATAACCGCCCAAAATCATATGCGGGCTTAATGGTTGTTGGAAATCCGGTAGACAATCACGGGCTCCTGGTGACTCTGTGCAGTGTCTCAATTGCTTTTGCCAGTTGTTTGGATCAACGTTGGAGAATGATCCTCCAAAATAACCTGTAAGGGACTGAACGACACAAGCCTTTCCGGTGGGTTTGAAGCAGACGTCGTCCAAAGAAAGGCCATTATTCAAAGATATCATCCGCTTTACCCTATTTTCTACATCAAACCACCAGCTCAACGTCTCGTAATCAAGGACGGGCCCAGGTTCATCCTTCACTAAAAATGCTTGCTCGGCGCGGTAAAACGGCCCAAAATTGGAATCGAAATATTCCTTTTCTCTCGCGGCTGCTGATGTTGGACTGACCCATAATTTGACGGGGTCCTTTTCCACCGAAAAGCGCAGCCAACCTAAGCTCAACACGGCAATAATAATAACGCTTGTAACGATGGTTGAAGCGGGGAACCTAGCACAGAAACGACCAAGGCGGCTAAATGCCTTATCCAATGTAGAATTCAGCTGATAATATTTGGTGGGGCGGGTGAGAGATCCGGCATTCTCAATTATGTCGCCTTCGTCTTCTTCGTCGCTTGGACTGGCATCTTGTAACAATCGTACCCTTTCAATCTTTCTTTCACGGTGTTTCCGAAAGGCGACTCGACCCAAGACGCCGGAGACGAGAAGTAGAAGGGTTACAGAGTAGATCAAAATGACCGCAAATGAAAAGCATGGGAGGTAGCCAACGAAACAGGAATGTTCCGTCGCCAAAGCCGGCAACTGCGGACAGACAGCTGGACAATCGATACAAGAGCACCGGAATGCGCTATCCGAGTCGTTGCAGGACTTGGGAGATTCTGGCAATGCTCGCATTCCGTCGTCAAACGAATTTCTCGGTTTGGTCATAAAGTTGATTTGGAACGGACTGCCCAACAGCTTCTTATCGCCCAGGAATTTTAGGAATTGCGTATAATTTTTAGCACCACCACCGATAAAGTCCATTGCTTTTCCCCCAGATGCGCCATTCTTGACGTCCTTGCAGCTGTCGTAAAAGCCGCTCTGGTACTTCTCAGACCACAGATTGTCCAACTCGGTCACCAGTAATTTCCCTCGAACCTCCTCTGTCTGAGTAACATTTATGAATAGCGATTGATCGGGTGAGCAGGTAAAAGTGCAGAAGATATTAAAGAAATTCTCTTTGCAGGCAGGACATGAAGCGATGATGCCCTGAGCGAGTTTGAGGTTCTTGGACAGAGCATCAATCTAAGAGCCAAAGTCATGGTAAGTTGAGTTTTCGACCAAGCCATTGAAGAAATAGACGGGGAGCAGCAATACCTGTTCGTCCTCACAGCACACCGGTCCGTGACTCCATTTCTCACCGCACAGCGATACTAGTTTGTCACGCACTTTATCTTCGGGTTCCCGGGCGAGATCATTGTCGGGACAAGGTAGTTGCCCACCAAAGAACGACTTCTTCCCACAATGCCCTCTAATCGCACACCGGCCCTTCTCGTGGCGCTTGGTTTCGCCCTCCATGAATGCTGAGCTGCTTTGAACTGCAGCGAGGCCGACCAGAAGCACGGCATAGTATGAAAAGTGCATGTCGTAGAGTTGGCTCTCAAAGGGCTAGAAGCAATGGGATCGTGCTGTTTTGAGGTCTTGAGGCGGGAGCCTGGACGGCATGCGGATTCGGCAAGATGAGGGTACTAGGAGGTCAACACGGAAGCTGGGGTGGGAATGCAGCGGCACACCGCTCGGCAGCTCGACAAGGGCAGGCAAATCATAGGAGGCCAGCTCAGGAACGATCAGCAGGCGGGCGTCTGCAGGTTAAAAGCTCGTCTGGCCGTGGCGTCAGCTCTGGCTGGTCGATGAAGTTGCCGAATCTGGGAAGCGGGAAGATGTCACTCTTATGTAATCATCGTGTTGCTGAGTCAGCCCACGTGACCGCGCCAAACCGAAAGCGAGCATGGCCCTCGCCCATGTTGTCTCTCCCCCAAAAAAGGAACGAAGCAGAACATCCGATTTTTGAATGAATCTCGCTGGAATCCCTCCGTCGCTCTTCTTTCTCACCATCTGCTGCTCTGCCTCCTCGGAGCTTCAAACCTCGTTTTCTTCTTGCTGTTCGCTATTTTACTAATATCCTCCCTTCGTGCTGCTACCCGTGGCATTTTCTTTCAGTCACGTCACGCCGCAACTCGCGATCTCAGCCCTGTATTATCTTCCTTGTCTCCTACTTTAATCGCTCCTGCGCTCAATCCTCCTCGCCAGTAACATCATAAGACGTTCTCCATCTTTATCCCGACCCTACACCTTTATCTGGCCGTCCGTATTCTTCACTTTAGAATTTCGTCAACGAGACATTCCTTATGGCTTCTGTAAGTACCCCTTGGCTTGCACCAAACTGCACTCAGCGCCAGCTTCCCATTCCTTTCGCTCTTGGTTGGTCTCGTTTCTCGAGCTCTGTATGCTATAACGGTGATGGCTAATGCGTACTCTAAGCAGCCACGTCCTCCACACACCTTCAACAACCCATCTTACAACCTCCCAAACGGTTCCACAAGTGGCCCAGCTCCTGGAGCTACCGCACTGCTTCCAAATAACGGCAGGGTCATCCAGTCAGGCTCAGTTCGTATTCTGTGCGTTGCGGATGTTAGAGGTATGGTGCTCTCTAAATTTCTGAGATTTCCCTTTGCGATGAGCACGCGACAACGTTTTTCGACAGGATGTTGACATGGGCTTGGGTAACAACTAGGCAACTTGAAATCTTTGAATGAGCTGGCCAAACAAGCTCGTGCAGATCACATTATCCATACTGGAGATTTCGGCTTTTATGATGACACCTCTCTGGACCGGATTGCCGACAAGTAAGCTCGACGAGCCTCTTGCGCTCAATACCCGTTCTCAGTAATAGCTGGTGGCTGACTATTTTATTACTATAGAACATTGAAACATGTCGCACAATACTCTCCTCTTCTTCCGGAGTCTATTAAACGCAGCATCGCCCAGGTTCCTCCTCAACAATCCATCAAGCAACGTTTCAGCCCGGACCAACTCGTTCTTTCGGAACTGCCTCTACTTTTAAACAAGCAGCTTACACTCGATGTTCCCGTATACACGGTTTGGGGTGCTTGTGAAGATGTCCGCGTGCTAGAAAAGTTTCGTTCTGGAGAATACAAGGTGGACAAACTGCATATTATCGATGAAGCCAGCTCTAGACTGCTAGACGTTGGAGGTGTAAAGCTCCGTTTACTTGGTTTGGGTGGCGCCGTCGTGATGCATAAGTTATTTGACAATGGAGAAGGAAAAACAACCATCGCCGGTGGCCAAGGAACCATGTGGACCACTCTTTTACAGATGGGCGAGTTGGTCGATACAGCCAACCGCGTTTATGATCCCGCCGAAACCCGTATTTTTGTTACCCATGCGTCCCCGGCTCGTGAAGGCATGCTCAATCAACTTTCGGTCACCCTGAAAGCAGACTTTTCCAATCTCTGCTGGCTTACATTTTCGATATGGGCAGCTCGTACAACAGGTTTAGCGTTAACCCAACTTTGGACCA